GCTCATGAAAAAAACACATTCGCTAGTAATGCAGGACAAATAATTGATTCCAAGTTCAATCTAGATGTATAGAAACAATTAACTTCGCTAAACTTCAAAATTGGCGAATCAAACAGATCAATTGCACGAATGCCTAATCCAATCATCCCTCAGAGAAGCCATGGAACCTTACCTACCAAACGGAGCAACCAGTAGAATTTCAATAAAAACATCTCTAGTTTCGTCCAGAAGGAGCAACCGTTTTAGTTTAGAAGAAATCATGAATTGTGTCAAACAAGAAAGAGATATGTACAACATACGATTACACTCATGGTCTCATGCTGAACTACCATGATCCAGTTCACGTGTAACCAAATCCGAGCCTTCCATAAGCAGCAATTATCTCCTGAAAGGTAGACCAAGAAGACAAAAAAAACACTAGTAAGACAATGAAGCCGTATTAAGAACAAAATCATGTGTTTAACAAAGAGCTACCACAATAAATAAATAAAACTTAAGGCTCGTATCATAGGTTGTTAACCAGCAACATAACACAAATTGTTGAGCTCCATTGTGAATTTCTTACGACAAAGAGCCTATATAAGAAACATCTTTCACCAAGAACGAGTTTACACATTCAATAACCTTTCGAGAGAGCTTTCCCTCATCTCTGAGGGTACAATCTGTGAGAGAAATTGGAAAACCAACAGGATCATACCTTTTGAAGAAGCAGTATGATCAATTAAGAAAGTGAACAGAATCCTATTTTAACACAATTAACGAATGAACACAATTAACACAATCATGTATTGTGTGAAACATACAATTACACCCGTGCTGCTGAATGTTGCTAGTCCATGGATTAAACACTCCAGAACAATTGCCAACCACGATCTAGCTGCAAAATAGTGCGGTTTAGTGAGACCACAGCTAACTACAAGAAAATTAGATTCATAAAATATTTTTATACCATGAAATCAGTAAAATGAATAAGGCATAAAAAAAACCGTTGCAGTAACCAAAAAAAAAAAAAATCACAAAGATTTCCAGAACTCAAGCAGCAAATGTAGGATACCCAAAGCATGATGACCACCTGATTTCTCTAAAAAAACAATAAGTCACGTGATTTATCTAACATCAAGTTGAGTCGAGCTTAACTGGACATCAAGAAAAAATCCTATGTGTGGACAGGCCATTAATGTTTTCTACATTCTACACCAGAAACGTTTGCCAAGATGCAAACAGTGAAC